AATCCATTACTTTATGCCGAAAATACGCTTTAAACTTCTCTCCAAACTAATACTAAGAATCTTTGATATGAATTCAGTTATTCGGCGACCTAACATAGGCGTAAAAAATCTATTTTATGACGAAACATCCTTCAGCAACTTAGTGTAATGCAGAAATCAATTTGCTTTGTTCACAAAAAAATTCTCTAAGATTCTGCAAAAATTATTCGGCTGACATCACAAAAAGTTCCAAAAAAATCAATCAAAACCTCACCTGTTCTTCAAAAACTGCAAGTTGTTGGTCCTGTGGAGAAAAGTTCCGATTGAAATCCAAACCACACTCTCCAACGGCCACACAGTTTGGATCCGCTTGTAACTGCCTCAGCGCAGTCAACGTATCCGCATCGAATTCCTTTGCATCATGTGGATGAACACCTCGAAAACTAATGAATAAATGGGACTGCTCATACAATGAATGCGCTTAGCTAAACATAACTGTAAAAACTTCAAATAATAAATAAAACTTCTGCACTTAAACGGTCATGAAATTCCATGAATCAAAAAGTTAGTGTTTGATTAAGCGGACAATACGAAAAATCGATCCAGTTTTTGATCATTTGAGCGTCAAATTTGCAGGAACAGAAAGGATATTATTTCCATTTCAAATTCGCCCAAAACCAATTCCAACGATCCGCTCAATTTGCAAATAACCTTTTCGAAAAACCAACCAGCGGTAAAGTAGAGAAAGCCCTTATGCAGTGCTGCCAAATCACGCGCCTCTTCACTGTGCTTTACCGACGTACCAGTTATCATTATTTTTGATAGGCCTGTTTTTGAAAATTACGAATTAAAGTTTCGTGAACAAATACTTCCACTTTAATAAAATCTCAATATGATCAATCCATTGGAATTTTTTTTAAAATATGCAATGGGAATGTTGGTTTCATTCAAAATACACTTCAAGTTCCAATTATTCAAGACCAAATCTCGAAATACACTAGCTATTAGCTATAAAGATTAAAGTGTTCCAAAAATACCAATGGCAACGAAGTGACCATATAGAAGAAATCGAATCTTCAGATGAGTATTCCATCTCTCTATCACAAAAAAGCATCAACTTTCACTCGAATGAAATAAAAAATATACGAACCAACCCGCTTGTTTAGCGCGCAGCAACACATCGGGCAAATCGTCTTGAAATGACGGGTGAGTTAAATTTGCACCAATATCCACCAACTCGTACGGCACCAATACACGAAGACCATCCTCGAGCATCTTGGCGCTCCGTCGAGTCAGAAAGCGCCTACCGATACGAATCACTTTCAGACGGATTTTGAAACTGCTTACAGACAGAANTATATATATATCCGTACTGAGATTCAAAACAGTACTCTTTGAAGTGAAATAAAAAATTAGCATTCGATAGAAAGCGCTGAATGAATGTGAAACAAATAACACATGCAACAGCATCACGAAAATCGTGACACTCGATAAAACACCTCTAGTCACGAACCAACGATAAATCCAATTATCAGGGGTTTCATCCGAAATTCATTTATACGCCCACATAACAACAGTGACATTAACATGGAAAGGTTTGCCATTTACGAGGACATACTGAACGCAGAGGCATTTGAACCGTACAAACAAAGTCACTCGAGGATTACAGATGGATGTAACAATTGGACTTTCCAACCGTCACGGAACATTTCTGTGAGGCAATTACGCGGTGTTTTAGCACCGACTCAGCTGTACGAAACAGAGATACCGAAACACACAAAACTCTCATCACACAGAGAGACGACCAGAAGAAATACTAACCGTAAGAATGAACACACTTGCACACTTGCAATTTATTTGCACGAATGGAATACCGATACTTTTCCTCTGGACTTCACATGCATTTCGATATTGCAAACTTGATAAACGGTTAAAGCCAACCAAAAAGTTCCTCAGGAGAACGGAAAATTAAATAAAAAATGAAACAAGAAAACTTGGTTTAAAAATTTGGCGAATAGAGAGTATACACTAAAATGTTCTCCATTTGAAAGCGGCAATTTGAAAATTCCTAAGAATCGCCAGTGCAAACACACATCGCATTAATTCCAGGAAAGGAGCCGAATAGTCGTAGATGGGTTCGGAGGTGCCGTTTCGCGACCAGAAGACTCTGATGAAATACTCGACCCCAGCGCGTCTGAGCGCGGGGGCGGAGTCAGCGAAGAGCATGCGCAATCGCAGGTCAACGAGTTAA